ATTTACAGATTTCTTAATAACTAATTTTTATTTTCTAGTATACATAATTTTAAAAATAATATATATATATATATATATATATATATATTAAATAAGAGTAATTAATTTTATGTATTAAAAAAGGATGTGGATGGTCTAGGTGGCATTGCAATAACAATTGCAAAATTTACAAGTGCGAGACAAAATTTTGATGATGTGACCATTTACAATTCCTTTTGAAAATGGTTTTGCAAGCCTTATGTGGATGGTCTTAGTGGACATAATCTTTTATCTTATACAATTATTATAGATTTCTTAAATTAACTTTTTTAATTTTTATTTTACATATTTTTACGGATTTTTTGATAACCCAATTTTTATTTATATTGAACATACTTTTAAACTATTTTTTTATTATAAATATTTTCTCGATATAAATAAATATGTATTTATAAATTTTAATATATTGACTTCTATGATAAGAATATAAAAATGATATAAAGTTAAAATGATGGAACTCTAACAAATTTGAAAAAGTTTTAAGTAAGGTTTTTGACATAGTCAAGAATATCGAGGTTTTTAAGTTGTTGAAAAGGTGACGTTGTAAACCAGATAAAAAGTATAAAAAAGCCGTATAAAATCCCTTAACACTATGGGTGTTTATGAGTTAGGTTGATCAAGTTGAAGACATTTGAACAACCCAACTCATTGCTTGTGGTTTGAAAAATCTTAATCGAACCCAACTCAAACTAAAGTGCAACCCAACCCAGTCCAACCCAAATCGTACGGGTTGGTCGGGTTGATACTTTGATACATTAAAATATTATTCTAACCTTGATATGTTATTTCTCTACTCATAATTTCCTTTTCATCATCAAACATTTGATACAACTTATTCATACTTCTTACATATATCACATTCAATTAATTTTTTCAATTTACATATATATGTTCACAGTTACCAAACATATATACGAATAAGTTATATAGAGATATGAATAGATTGAGAATATGTGTATATGAAAAACGTACATGATAGTGTAAGTCTCTAATGTATATATTAATTGAAATTCAACAATCATATTAAATCCAAAAAATAAAAAAATATCAAGTTTATCAGATTAGATTGAATTCAAATAATAGTAACCTAATATCAATAAAATACTTCGAATTAAATTATTTTACGTTAGATTGGGTTGGTTTCATGATTTTTAGAGACACCTACTTAACACTGTAGATGTGAATTGATGGTTGATATGACAAAAAGGATGATCTTTTTACACCACTAAAAGAATCCGTCTCTCATGTGTCCCATGCATCCAACTCATCACGTTCTGGATATTATTTTATTCATATTTTTTTATATCAAAGGTATATATTAAAAAAAATATAGTTTAAACAACAGTATATAATTACTTTTGTCATTTAATAACAAAAATGTAACGAATTAAACGTCTTACATCTCACATTTTTTTAACATTTTAGAGTAAATTTGATTTTTGGTTCATAACGTTTGTCAATTTCTAATGGTTTTCGTCTATCGACTTTATTTTAACAGATTTGTCTCTCACGTTTAATACCTCGCAACGATTCTTGTCCTTTTTCTTAACGGTTGTCAACTTTTTCGGTAAGTCCAATCTAACAAGGGGCACTTTAATCATTTACTTGTTAAAATATTAAGTAAATTTAAGTGGACAAAAATGAATCTCACGAATCTCTTAATTTTAGGAGTTATTAAATGATTAAGCCTCTCTCTCTCTTATATATATATATATATATATATATATATATATATATATATAAAATGTCATATAATATTAATACAATATTTTTTTTGGGGGTTTAATAGAAATATAAAAGTTACATTACCCTCATTAAATTAGACTTAACGAAAAAAAGTTAACGGTCGTTAAGAGGAGGGACGGAAATCGTTACGAGGTGTCAAACACGAGGGACAAATCTATTAAAATAAAGTTGAGGGACAAAAACATTAGAGACCAAAAGCGACTAGGACAAAAATAAAGCATTGGGGCAACCATTGACGTTTTCCCAGAATTTTCCTTAGACCTTTCTTTGCGATGTATTGGTGATGAGTATATAATGCAACGTGAACTTTACTCTACTTTTATCATGCAAATGCTCTTAAAACAATTCAGGAAGGCACTCTATCTATACTATATTATAAAACATTTGACAAAAACTCTTAAAAGCCATTTTTAATGCATGACTGTATATTGATGCATATTACTTAAAATTCAAAATTACAAATAAATTATGTATAAATACAACTTATTAAAGCTCCATGTTTGAATTCGTGTAACTAACTACGGATAAACATAAGCAAATAGAGGATAAACATCTCATTTTAAAATATAAAAAATCTAAAATATAATTAGGATAATTATCGAGTTTTAACAAAATAATCAATTATTATCTTCATAAAAAAATTATATTAGTAAACCAAATATAAATTACTTCGTTATTTAATCTAAATTAAATTATCATAAAAAATTAAATTAAAAAATTACACAAAAAATAGGAATTTTAAATAGTTAATTTGATACTAATATCGATATATTTTTGTCAAATTTTTATGATATCTTCAAATTTATATTTTATTYAAAAATAAAAACATTATCGGTTTTTCAAAATCACATAAGACCATATTATAACATCGACTGATATAAAGAATAAAAAAAATATCAAAATCAATATGTATCGCTGCATTGCGCGAATACCCTTCTAATATTATAAATTAGCGTATGTTGCAATGGATTTGTATAATAATTATTACTACACTATTAACTATGCATGAATCATGTTATTAACAACACTTTGTTACTGAATTTCACCAACAAAGTTGACTAGAATTCATACACCATAGAAGAAAATGTACTTTAGACTCATAGAAATATACCTTGTAACAATTACAAAGTGACATCTCATGTTTATTTTATTAGAGAAAGCTGAGAATACAAAATTCAATAAATTATTTCATTTTAAATGATTAAGTTTTCAAACTATTTTAATAAATAAACATTTGAAAGATTTTCATTGAACATAATTTTAATATATAAATCATGAAACTTTTAGAAACTGGTTACCTACATTATCTTAACCCAAAAACTACACATAACCTATTAAGAAGGTTTTAAAGTGAAAGAAGATGTAAATCAGTTTTACTGTTCCAAACCGTATGTCATTCAAACCCCTCGCACCCAACAAAATTGCTCTCATTCACCACCTTGTCGCCCCATCATCATCCGTTCTATTATTTAAATTAAAATGAGAAAGTTGGTTAGATTTT